ATGATGATGATGATGATGATGATGATGATGGTGATGGTGACTATAATGATGATGATGATGATGGTGATTATAATGATGATGATGATGATGATGATGGTGATGATGATGGTGATTATAATGATGATGATGATGATGGTGATTATAATGATGATGATGATGATGATGATGGTGATGGTGATTATAATGATGATGATGATGATGATGATGGTGACTATAATGATGATGATGATGATGGTGATTATAATGATGATGATGATGATGGTGATGATGATGATGATGGTGATGGTGACTATAATGATGATGATGATGATGATGATGATGATGGTGATGGTGACTATAATGATGATGATGATGATGGTGATTATAATGATGATGATGATGATGATGATGGTGATGGTGATTATACGAGGGTCACTCCGAAATTATTGAGATTTTCAAAATTCGCGCCAAATCCAACGTTATAAAACAGGTTTCCTTAAACTTACACATTTATAAGCGTTGTTTGCAAATTTTTGTCCATTTCCACTCAAAGATATCTTTTTAACAAACTTTTAAAAGAGGGGACTCTCGCTGTAAATTTCATTTTCGAAATGGAGCTTGAAAGACGCGATTTTCGCGCAATGATATATTACGATTTTAAAAAGGGATTAAAACAAGAGGAGTGTCTACAAGAACTAGTTGCAACTTTTGAAGATCGTGCACCATCAAGGGCAACTGTTTTTCGATGGTTTGCAGAATTTAAACAAGGGAGGGAGAGTCTGAAAGATGACCCCCACCCAGGAAGACCACCAACGGCTGTGGTCCCAGAAACTATAGCTGCTGTAGAAAAGCTACTCAAAGAAGATGGCCGATTGACCTATGAAGTGATGCAGGAAAAAGTTGGCATTGGATCGACAGCATTAAATAAAATTTTGCACGATCATCTTGAAGTAAGAAAGGTTGCAGCTCGCTGGGTACCTCATTGCTTAACAGAGGCACAGAAAGAGCATCGGGTAAACTGGTGCCAATTTATGCTTGAAAAGTTTGATAGTGGAAGGTCCAAACGTGTGTATGACATCGTCACAGGTGATGAAAGTTGGATTTACCAATTTGACCCAGAAACGAAACGCCAGTCGTCAGTCTGGATCTTTCCGGGGGAGCACCCACCACAAAAATTCAAGCGCTCCAGAAGCGTCGGCAAAAAGATGGTCGCTTCTTTTTTTGGAAAAACGGGCCACGTGGCAACGATTCCTCTTGATGATCGCCGCACAGTTAACACGGATTGGTATGTAAACCAGTGCATACCGAAAGTGCTAGATGCATGGCGAGAAAAACGTCCGAAAACTGGTTTGCGCGGGATCCTATGGCACCATGACAACGCATCAGCTCACACTGCAGCATTGACAGTTGACTTTCTGCACGAAAATTCCATTCAGTTAGTCACCCACCCACCATATTCACCCGACTTGGCACCTTGTGACTTTTTCCTTTTCCCTACCATCAAAGAAAAACTGCGTGGAACGAAATTTGATAGTCCGGATGAAGCCGTAGACGCGTTTAAAGAGGCGATTTCGGACCTTCCTGGTGACAAATGGACAAATTGTTTTTCTATTTGGTTTAATAGAATGAAACTTTGCGTAGAGGCTAATGGAGAGTATTTTGAAAAGCTTTAAAAATTTGAGCCTATTCTCATAAGCCGTTTTTGAAAATCTCAATAATTTCGGAGTGACCCTCGTAATGATGATGATGATGATGATGGTGGTGATGGTGACTATAATGATGATGATGATGATGGTGATTATAATGATGATGATGATGATGATGATGGTGATGATGATGGTGATTATAATGATGATGATGATGATGGTGATTATAATGATGATGATGGTGATGATGATGATGATGATGATGATGGTGATGATGATGGTGATTATAATGATGATGATGATGATGATGATGGTGATGGTGATTATAATGATGATGATGATGATGATGATGGTGATTATAATGATGATGATGATGATGCCTTGTTGCCTGTTATTATTCTGCTTCTGCGTTGCAGGCAAAAGGCTACTAATTCCAGCAAATCAGCAAAAACTAATCGTTACACGAATTTCATTCTTGTAAAACTGTACCCTGGGTACCAGGCAGGGGCGGACACTTGATCAAATATTGGGGGGAAGCCTATTGTTTTAATAAGATGACGTCACATGTCCCATTGTTCTAGAACAAAAGACCATTGTCCTCTAAAGTATTGGGGGGGGGCGGTCGCCCCCCTCACCCCCCCCCCCCAAGTGTCCGCCACTGGTACCAGGCTCACTCTATATAAATAAGTCTCTACCCTGGGTATCAGATTAAGTCTCTTATTTTATATAAAGTGAGTCTATTACTCAGGGTAGTAAAATTGATACTGATCAGGTACTGAGAATCGGAAATAAATTTAATTTGATACTTGCAGGCAGGGTCAGAAAAAATGAAAAAAAATTATTTGTTTCATCGGATATCGGATACACTGGACATTGGATAGGGAAAAAGAATGAAGGCCACAGTAATGTAAAACATCGAAAAGTGCAATTTTAGAGTTTGGAAAAGGAAAGAGAGCGATAACATTTGATAAATATCGTGAAGACTTTCTTGCATATATGTTAAATACATCTCATACATTTGCAAAAGCTACCACGAGAATGAAATGATCGCAAGGTTTTCATTTCCAAAGGTTTCTCACTAAAAAATATAGGTAAAAATGACAACACAGCTATTAACACAATTATTTGCATAAAAGAACAAACCTCTTCAGGTGCCTTTCCTTCAGCAACGACGTCTCGTTCCATGCTCTCTTGGACGTTGTGATGTTCGTTTGAACTGAAAAATTACAAACAAGGCTGATTAGAAGACGAAAAAGAATTCCTGGAGCTTCAGCGCCGGGGGTCTAGTACTTCAAATCAAGCAACCTTATAGTTATGACTAAAGATAAGAGGGCGATAAAGTAGAAGGCAAGGATAATGTAGATGTTCCTAGGATAAGCAATGGATTCTTGATGAAAGTCAAAAGATTTTCAAGAGATTTATGCATTATTCATCGCTAAATTAGTTTGTATTATTTATAAGACGACCTTGGGTCATCTAAACTATGACTGGAGTATCGTATGGGTCGACAGGTTGTCCTTGTTGTTACTGTTATAATTGTTAAAACCGCACAAATGCTTGACAATACCGTGTTAAACTCGAATTTATCAAGGTATCCATTGAAAAGCCAATCATAAGTTATAGTTGGGTAATAATGCACAAGAGCGTGTTCAAAGACCATGGAAGTGCAGACTACTTAAAAAAGCATGTGGATCTGGATTTTTCAACACTACACTCAATTCTTTTATAAGAACCTGAGGTCGGGTTTATAGCACTCAAATTCTTAAAACTTTTGATGATTTAAAAGCAAACATTTTTATAAAAAGATATTAGATACCAAATATTATGCAGCTTGTTTTAGAAACACAAAATTGCAAACCTGAAGATAACTTCGAGCCCCCGTGCAAATGGTGAAAAGAAATTTTGTGATATCTCGACACAGGTGATAAGAGAGGTGAACAAAAGACATTATAAACGAATTTGATCTATGAAACATTTCAACTTTGAAAGGGTTTGTTTTCAATAGCGTAAAAACCAACACAGCTGTGCACTGCAGCTTAAATGCACGAAGATTAACGGCAAAGCGGCTTCATATTTTGTTGACTTGTAACAATAGACCAGCACGAGTGCAGAGAAAGTTCGCGTTTTCTTTTGCCTTTAATTCGCTGCTTCTTGTCAAGAAATGTGAGAAATAGGCCTCATATTCGCAAACCTACAAAAACATTCAACGTTGAAAATTAAAGACTAAATAACGATATTGCCGACCACCCAATTAAAGATCTATTTTTTTGTTTCGATGTCGTAGGTCTCGATGTTTATGTAACTGCTACTTATTATTCAACTCTCTTTTAGCGATGTTTCTATGCGGCGATTATTTTAACTCATGCCTCTAACAATCCTTAAGACTAGAAATAATGAACAGTTACCAAACTGCGCGCACTAATGAACAGTTACCAAACCACAGCTGTCTGTGATATCATGTGAACCGTTCTAATTGTTGCCAATGATTTCGGGTGGCGCATGCGCACAGAATATTTTGCTTGCTCCTTCGCTGTGCGCACTAATGCGCAACCACAGCTGTCTGTGATATCATGTGACCCGTACTAATTGTTGCCAATGATTGCGGGTGGCGCATGCGCACAGAATATTTTGCTTGCTCCTTCGCTGTGCGCACTAATGCGCAACCACAGCTGTCTGTGATATCATGTGACCCGTACTAATTGTTGCCAATGATTGCGGGTGGCGCATGCGCACAGAATATTTTGCTTGCTCCTTCGCTGTGCGCACTAATGCGCAACCACAGCTGTCTGTGATATCATGTGACCCGTACTAATTGTTGCCAATGATTGCGGGTGGCGCATGCGCACAGAATATTTTGCTTGCTCCTTCGCTGTGCGCACTAATGCGCAACCACAGCTGTCTGTGATATCATGTGACCCGTACTAATTGTTGCCAATGATTGCGGGTGGCGCATGCGCACAGAATATTTTGCTTGCTCCTTCGCTGTGCGCACTAATGCGCAACCACAGCTGTCTGTGATATCATGTGACCCGTACTAATTGTTGCCAATGATTGCGGGTGGCGCATGCGCACAGAATATTTTGCTTGCTCCTTCGCTGTGCGCACTAATGCGCAACCACAGCTGTCTGTGATATCATGTGACCCGTACTAATTGTTGCCAATGATTGCGGGTGGCGCATGCGCACAGAATATTTTGCTTGCTCCTTCGCTGTGCGCACTAATGCGCAACCACAGCTGTCTGTGATATCATGTGAACCGTTCTAATTGTTGCCAATGATTGCGGGTGGCGCATGCGCACATAATATTTTGCTTGCTCCTTCGCTGTGCGCACTAATGCGCAACCACAGCTGTCTGTGATATCATGTGACCCGTTCTAATTGTTGCCAATGATTGCAGGTGGCGCATGCGCACATAATATTTTGCTTGCTCCTTCGCTGCGCGCAATAATCAAATAACAACAAAACCATGCTTAGTTACGCTGAGGCAGCACATACTGTATTCAGCTTACAAAGTTATACCCTTGGCGAATATCTGCACTGGAAAATCGAAAATATTAAACCTAATATGATAAAAAAAATGATTCAAACATAAGCTAAAATTCTTAGAAAGCATGCAATTTCATAAGTGGAAAAAAGAGGAGGTATCTACCAAAAGAGAAATTGTCACCTTTCAAGAGGTTGCCCTGTTGATCGATCGTCGTAAAAACTGTCATTCAGATTATGAGGATGGTGGCGTCTGTGGCTGCGTTCTTTACCACGATGCGCTGGGGATTCCTGGTCCTCCGAACAGGTGCAGCTACACGTTTCGTTGGAACAAATGGAAGCAGCCTCATGATCAGAAGTTCGCTCACGGTCTGAACTAATCGAAGAGTACCCGGACAAAATTGAGTCCGAGTGCGGCTTGTATTTAAGTCCCTCGTCGAGATTTCCATCCTGGGGGCTGATGAGGCTCATTTCCGAATTCGATGACAAATTTGGATGTTTAACAATTGACAATTCGGCGGCAAAATTTCTACGCAAGTGAGGTGTGCCGGTATCGGTACCATTCAGTTCCTGCAGCGATATACGGTAATTTCCTGGCGCAGCAAGCGAGTCACTGTCTGAAGATTTGCTTGACCACGTGTTATAACTTATAGGTATGGCAAGTGGCCCAGCATCGCTGGCTTCGCAAGAACTTTCATTATTGCTACGATCTCCATTTGTCTGCTTTGCATTTATATGCTTCTGGTTGTCAAAGTCCGTGATACTGTTTAATGAACCCTCCTCACTTTGATTGCCATAACTAAAACCAAACTTGAAGTTTCGATTTCCTAACGGTGTCATCGGTTCAGTTGCTGGCGAAAAATACAGGGGTTGGTCGGGCTGTAAAGTGATATCATCTCGTGACACCAATTCATGGATGATGTCTGGAAGACGTCGGATGGTTTTATCGCCATCCAAAGACGAATCCTGCAGCCGGCTAGCAGAGAGAGATTTAGCACCGTTGGCAAAACTGTTACTTCGAGCCTTGGCTGTTCCATCGTCATTGATAAGCAAAGAACGCTCTTGAAGTGATCTCGAATTTGCAAGCTCGGGAGGCACTGGGTCGGACAGAGCTTTGAGCCTTGAATCAGATTTTAAAGATGCAGTTGATCGATTCGGGTTAGAGCCAGTATCAAAGGATTGCGACATCGAAAAGTAATTTGATCGCTCATCCCTAGAGCTCCGTCCATGATAAGATGAACTGCGGACAAAGTTTGATTGATCAAGTGACAGATTCGAATCTTGGCCTTTAAATGATCTGTTTGACCAAAATCGCAACTTCTGGTCGGACGCACGACCTTTTGTCCGTTTGGAGTTACCTGACTTTGGTTTACATGGCGTATGGGCTATCAACGAGCACCCCGACACATAGTCTTGGGCACTGCTTAAGACACAGTCTTTATACATAGAGACCCTATTGGCGTTTACGGGCCTGCTGCCCGTCGACATACTGCGAAATACTCCATGCTCAGATTCTTTCGGTATGCTATGAGAACGAGGCATTGGCGAAAGCCTATCTACTTCCAGATCATTGACTTTCAAAGATTGCACGCCAATTATCCTACTTGACGTCATTTTCAGTGATTCTATTATTGATTCCAATGGACTGAGTCTTGCCCGTGAATCCTGAAACAAAACGTTAGCAACAAAATAAGCTTCAACTGAGAGGACAAATTTAATCTAAAAGACATAATCTAAAAAATAACAAATATTACTTTTCGATTTTGATCCAAACGTGGCAATTCACTCTCACTATCAACATCGGGTCAAAGACAACTTCAGACGTGAGCCCTACCGAAATCTCTCTAAATTCTAACAAGGTGGGCTGAGCACCCAAAGCTCCATCTACGGAAACCCTCAGTCCCTGGTATCGATGACAAACTATTAATGAAATGCAGAACTGGCGCGCGGGTTGTTTACGAAAATATTGTACTGCCCCTTGAACAACATTTTGGAAAAACATTTCAGAAACGTATTTTAGACAAATATTTTAGAAAAACCATCTCCAGAAAACCTCCCGTGGAACCTGGCAACATACTCCGAGTAAAAAATATTGTATCCATAAAAGACCAAAAGAATCGGCAAAGAGAGCCTTCTTATCGCAAGTCACCTCATTCAGCAAGGGCAGCTGTTCCATTAGAAGTTTTGAGATGACCGCCAGTTCCCTACCAATATCGATGTAACTATCAAAGCTGCTTTGCTCGCAATGCTCTGGTTTACTCTGAAAGATCAAAATGAAAAATAAATATCAAGGAGCAATAAGTCCTTTTTTCCTATCCAAAATTAGCAACATACATATATAATTGGAGGAAATCTAATCAAGGGAACAAAACAGGCACAGTGATACATTATAGAACGCAATTTGTTTGGTTCAAATTTTCGAATTCCTTATAAAGGGAATACATTTTGAAGGACAAAAACACCTTGGTGGATACTTAAGATCATATCCTGCTACATTTTAACTCTAAGTAAAGGCTCTGTATCATGCAAGAGATATATGGTAGTTTTCTTATTATTTAACGTTTGGATTTTACTGTATTGGACACTGGAAAAATATATGGATGTACGTAAACATAATGGTCTAAGTGACACAACATGTGAAAGTGAAGAAAACTAACAGAACATCATGATTCGATCACCTTTGTTTATATTCTTTTGCGAAATAACTCTCCCTTATTGAACACTCTATTATGTTACGTTTCAAAAGGACGTTCACATTTATCAAAACGATCAAAAGACTTACTGAAATAAGATCCAGAAAATTTTTCATGTTTGGAAGCTCTCTCTCAACGAACTCGTTCAGACTCTCCATGTACTCTTCTTTACCACCAAACCTGTAACACAATAAATTTAGATCACTGTACTATAGATTCGGATGTCCCTTTCGTAGCGCCGTGGTAAAAAGTTGTGAAGTGCGTTGTGAAGTTGGTATTGGTGTATTACGTTTGTAAACACGTGTATTACGGTTTTTGAATGTGTAAGTTTTTAAATCAGCAGTCGTGGCCCCTTTAGTTTAAGAGTTTTCTGATAATCTGTAGCGAAAACTCAGCACAAACTGCAGCTCAAAAGGCTGTATCATGGTTCGGTAAACTGGCTAAAATGCGAGACATAGTATGTTTTTAACCAAATTTTAATTAAAGGTTCATGGCAGAGGGTGTCCTGATGATTCGAAAAAATTCAAAACTTTACTATCAGACCCTCTTTAACTAACATGGAATTGCAATTTGATAAGAAACAAGTACTGTAATTGGCTTAAGCGAATGAAATAAAGCTTAGGTTCAAGCCAAGTTTTACACGAGAAATACAACGATTATTCCAAAATTGTCTTGCAAACTTGACTGAATGCTTCTGCCAATAACTCGAATAGGTAGGATAGGTTTCTCATATCATTCTTAAACCATTTTCGTGTTATTTTTTTCGGCCTCACCATGCTTATCAAAAGAAATATGGCAATATAACTGTAAAATGAGGTTTTGGTATTTAATTCCTTTAATATGTAGCATATGAAATGCGACAATTTCAAAAAATTCCTTTCAACTTGCGTTTTCCAACACCGTTTATCCCGTGACACAGCCCTTAGACATTTCAACAGGTTGCTAAAAACACCTTACCTTGTAAAGTTTGCAAGATTTTGAAGTGCTTTTGCAATTAAGGTGAGACATCGCCCGGTCTTTTCGTCGGGATATTCTGAAAAACAGAATTCATTTTTTTAATGGAAAAAAATGACGTCATTAGGAATAATTTAAAAAGCCTAATACCTACTTTAAAAGCCTAATTGCGGGTTAATGACTAAAAAGCAAAAAAAACTGACCTCCAGCTCAAGCGCACTTCGTTGAGGGTGAATTTAATGCTTGGTTAGGTTAATCAACAGTAACAAGCTGCAGCTATGACGCTTATGCCAACCAAAGGATAAACAGAAAATTGTATGGAGAAGAAGAAAGAATATTCAGTTAAAGAAAATTGAAAGAAACAATATTGAGATGAGTGATATATTCTGAGGAAGAATAAAGGCAGGAAAAATTTTCAGAGGGAGAATATTAAGAGGATGAATATTAAGTGGAAGAAAATTAAGAGGACGAATATTGAGAGGACAAATATTAAGAGAACGAATACTGAGAAGAAGAGGATTAAGTGGACGACTATTAAGAGGAAGAATAATAAGAGGATAAAGATTAAGAGGAAGAGGATTTAGAGGTCGAATAATAAGAGGACGAATATTAAGAGGACGAATATTAGGAAGAAGAATACTAAGAGGAAGAAGATTAAGAGGACAAATATTGAGAGAACAAATACTGAGAAGAAGAGGATTAAGAGGACGACTTTTAAGAGGAAGAATAATAAGAGGAAGACGATTAAGAGGACGAATATTAAGAGAAAGAAGATTAAGAGGACGAATAATAAGAGGACGAATATTAAGAGAACAAATATTAGGAGGAAGAATACTAAGAGGAAGAAGATTAAGAGGACAAATATTGAGAGAACAAATACTGAGAAGAAGAGGATTAAGAGGACGACTATTAAGAGGAAGAATAATAAGAGGAAGATGATTAAGAGGACGAATATTAAGAGGAAGAAGATTAAGAGGACGAATATTAAGAGGAAGAAGATTAAGAGGACGAATAATAAGAGGAAGAAGATTAAGAGGACGAATAATAAGAGGACGAATATTAAGAGAACAAATATTAGGAAGAAGAATACTAAGAGGAAGAAGATTAAGAGGACAAATATTGAGAGAACAAATACTGAGAAGAAGAGGATTAAGAGGACGACTTTTAAGAGGAAGAATAATAAGAGGAAGACGATTAAGAGGACGAATATTAAGAGGAAGAAGATTAAGAGGACGAATAATAAGAGGACGAATATTAAGAGAACAAATATTAGGAGGAAGAATACTAAGAGGAAGAAGATTAAGAGGACGAATATTAGAGAGGAAGAAGATTAAGAGGACGAATATTAAGAGGAAGAAGATTAAGAGGACGAATATTAAGAGGAAGAAGATTAAGAGGACGAATATTAAGAGGAAGAAGATTAAGAGGACGAATAATAAGAGGAAGAAGATTAAGAGGACGAATAATAAGAGGACGAATATTAAGAGAACAAATATTAGGAGGAAGAATACTAAGAGGAAGAAGATTAAGAGGACAAATATTGAGAGAACAAATACTGAGAAGAAGAGGATTAAGAGGACGACTTTTAAGAGGAAGAATAATAAGAGGAAGACGATTAAGAGGACGAATATTAAGAGGAAGAAGATTAAGAGGACGAATAATAAGAGGACGAATATTAAGAGAACAAATATTAGGAGGAAGAATACTAAGAGGAAGAAGATTAAGAGGACAAATATTGAGAGAACAAATACTGAGAAGAAGAGGATTAAGAGGAAGACTATTAAGAGGAAGAATAATAAGAGGAAGACGATTAAGAGGACGAATATTAAGAGGAGTAGGGTTAAGAGGACGAATAATAAGAGGATAAAGATTAAGAAGACGCATAATAAGAGGAAGCAGATTGAGAGGAAGAGGATTAAGAGGACGAATAATAAGAGGACGAACATTAAGAGGACGAATATTAGGAGGAAGAATACTAAGAGGACGACTATTAAGCGGAAGAAGATTAAGAGGAAAGTTATTCACAAAGAGAGAGCAGTGCGTTTGATTGGTCATAGCTTTGATTATCTCTACTAAAAATAACACCATTTTTAAAATGTGTATGTAATTGATTATAACGAACCTCTTGTTAAATGGAAAAGACTTGGCGATAGGATTGCTGGACACAGAAATCGAAGAAAAATGGAACCACTAAAAAAGAAGAAAATAATTAAGGAAGTGCATCTAGACCTTTCAATGGTAGCTCCATCAAACATTGAGAAAATTTAATCACGACAATCAAATCAACATTGAGAGCTTTTATTCAAAAGCTTAAATGTTAACAACATTTTCTAACTTTACTTTTAAGATGTTTGTTATTTTCATAATTTGTAAAAAATCAATTAATTAATTTTGAATCGCATGGCTCGTTGAATTTTTAAAAATATGGTGTGTATGAAATAAATGACAGCTTTAAATAAGAGTCAATTCACGAAATTATCTGTATATCAACATAAAAAAATGCCAGGTAATTAGGTATCCCAGTAAGTATCTCGGCCAAAAGTCTTTGGAACACCAAGTTGCCTAAATTCTGTTTCGGGTAAAAAAGACCCAAACTTTTTGCCTCTACAGGGAACAAAAGAATGCTATCTGAATGAACCCATTGGACCACACCAAGCCTCTGACCTCTGCAAATAACAACGGAGGGAGAGAGGGGTACGCAGCATAGAATATTCATAAATTTAGTGTAGTGTACAATTTGAGTGTTAGGCATTGTAGAATGCCCATGTTAAGTAAGCGGTATCGAATTTGGCTGGCAAAAGATTGCAAATAATTTAAGCATTTACATACATACAATGTTAGTATCTGGAGAACCTTAGCGATGTTAGTATCCTTAGGCAACTATGCGACGGGCTACGTAACTGCATAACTCTGGGTTGGGTCTATTGATAATATCTAATACAATACCTTATAAGCTTTACACTGACATCCTTCTCAATCGCCTCGCACCTCTTCTTGATCAGGCAAAACGTTTCCTGAAGGTCACTTCAACGAAAAAAACAAAGCATATACATTTAATTCATCTTGAAACAAAAAATAAATTCGGGCATAAAATTATCCTCTTAGTGTTTACTAAGAAAAATTACTATCAACATACAATAAGTATATAATAAATAGCTATAGAAAAATATATACTAGATCTGCTACAAATACACTAATGGGCACAACACAATAGGACACTGTATAAAACAATTGTAGATCAAAATAGAACTGAAGATAGAATGTCTTCCACTGAGGTTTTCTGTGTTTTTACTTTCAAGCTTGGCTTTGCGAATACACTAGTCTTTTCTAATAAAGATGCAAGTAAACGAAAAGTTCACAGCCGTTACCAGGGTAGCCAAAACGATTATCGTCCAGGTAGGTCTGACAGAATACAGTTTATGACCTTGGGAATGCGTTCCCTCTGTACAATCTTAAGCCATCATGAAACCAAACATAACCTTGCATACACTATACATGGCATCGTGCGCTATCACATCAGGAAACAGTTACACATCAAGAATAAAACGAAGTCGAAACATAGTTCCTGATATAAAAGGCTTCTAAACAATAGGATGGTACAAAAATCAATTCTTTTACAACAACATAATACAATAAATTTCTTTCCAAGGAAATCATGTTCCATTCCCTCAAACTAAATACATCCAACATTGCTGACTATGGGTTTTTGTTGCTGCATTCCAGCCTTGCCAAAGGTGGAGAGAAATTGAAGACAAGAGAGAAATAATTCTTACGCTGGGAAGAGGTAATATGATCCAAGAACTCGCGCCCAGGCTTCTTCCACCAACTTTAAGAGATTCTTTTGATTGTCCAGCAAATTACCGCTAGTAAGTTTCGTCGGGTCAACCTAGGCAAAATAACAAACCTTTCGTTCAAAGTCGCAAGTCCCAATAAGGAAATACAAAAAAATCTTAAAAGATGTTGGAAGGAAAACGAACAGATGTTAAAAGTTCGATCCTGTTAATAGAAGAAGGGTTTAAAATGTGGGCCGGCTTTATTTTGTCGAAAACAAAGCAAAGCAATGATGTTTAGGTTGGTCACTTGTTTAACCCCCCTCAATCCTTGGGCATATAAAACCGAAACTCCAATTTATCAAATGAAAAAGCCATCCCTGAATATGCAAGAGAGTCAAGACTGGTTCCTTCGCCATCCCTGGGTATGCAAGAGAGTCAAGACTGGTTCCTTCGCCATCCCTGGGTATGCAAGAGAGTCAAGACTGGTTCCTTCGCCATCCCTGGGGTATGCAAGAGATTCAAGACTGGTTCCTTCGCCATCCCTGGGTATGCAAGAGATTCAAGACTGGTTCCTTCGCCTTCCCTGGGTATGCAAGAGATTCAAGACTGGTTCTTTCGCCATCCCTGGGTATGCAAGAGAGTCAAGACTGGTTCCTTCGCCATCCCTGGGTATGCAAGAGATTCAAGACTGGTTCCTTCGCCATCCCTGGGTATGCAAGAGAGTCAAGACTGGTTCCTTCGCCATCCCTGGGTATGCAAGAGAGTCAAGACTGGTTCCTTCGCCATCCCTGGGTATGCAAGAGAGTCAAGACTGGTTCCTTCGCCATCCCTGGGTATGCAAGAGATTCAAGACTGGTTCCTTCGCCATCCCTGGGTATGCAAGAGATTCAAGACTGGTTCCTTCGCCTTCCCTGGGTATGCAAGAGAGTCAAGACTGGTTCCTTCGGCACACAAATAGTTGCCCTAAATGACTGCTTGTCATTTACTCGAATAAAACTTTTCGAAATGAAAATTTTCTTCCCAGAAACAAGAATAAGCAGTAGAAAAGATAGTTGTTTACCTCGAATTCGTCCTGAAGATCATATAGCCGTTTTATGAACTGTGCAAATGTCTTTTGCAAATACTAAAAAGAACAGTAACAAAACGTGAAAAACTCATTTAAAAAAGACGATAAATCGCAACGACTTTGAATCATCCACTGACAAGAAGCTGCAGCCTGCAAACAAAACAGTTCTTTAATCTGTAGGATTAATCTTGGGAACCCAACAGAAGGAAGGAGACTCTTACTTACCAAGCACAACAACAATGAAATTACGTTGAAACTAACAGAGAAATGCTACAATTTTGTAAAACATATCTACAAGCCGTAAAATGAGGCGTTTTCGTTCATTTTCTGCAGTCTTTGGCCATTTCTCTTTATTCTAAATCCTATTTGACTTATTCAATCTAAGCAACAGTCTCCTTAATTCATTATCCCCAGAAAACCCAATTATATATTCTCATCCCCTATATGAAAGTCATTGACGAACGGGTTTTAAACACAAAGCCACAAAGTAGGAAAAATTCATATGATATAATAAAAAGAAATTCAATTTGATATGATTGAATCGAAATTGGGGAGGGGGGCCTGCCGTTTATTATTAGGAGAAATTTACCTTGTGACCAACCATCTTCATGTAAGTGTCCATAGATTTGGTAGCAAGTGTGTTGCCGCGGAATGTTAGGTTTTCATTGTCTAAAAGAGAAAGCACACAAAGGGATTACACAGTAATAACTAAAATATGTGATTAGCTGAAACTGGTATTAAAATTAAATGTGGCTGCATAAAGACAAGAAAAATCAAAATGGTCAAATCCGGACATTCTTCTTCAATTATTCTTCAATTAGAAGCCTCCTCTGTGTCTTTTGCTTTTCTATTGACTACAAAAAACTGCAGGTTACAAAAAATTTAACATCACCAGGGGCAATTGTGACATGGCCGGGGGTCAATATGACACCACCAGACTTGAAATGGTGGTCCAGTGAAAATAGCGGGCTATACTGACTGGAATCACGTTTGCTCATTATAAAACTTATTTTGACACCTTGACAAGCAACTCTCGTTGAGCCTGAAAAGATAACATGAAAGGGGTCGTCCGTGTAGTTTTCGATTAGGTTCTAGACTCGAATTATAGTTGTATAAAGATTTAATCACGGAAAATCTGTCAGACTGGAGAAACCTATGCTCGAGCGAATTTACGTCAGCGTATTTAGACTCTGTCTGGTGAGTGCGCAAACAAGAAACTTTGAGTAACAGCGAACTTGTCTCAACTTCGATCAAACCAATTAGTATATACCAATGGCTAATATACTAATGGCTCTGTGCCTCTGTGCATCAAGCACTGTTATGTCAGCATGGACAAAGCATATTTAGATATAAAAGTGTTTACATATGCCAGGAAACCTACCAAGAGAATTGACCTCTGCAATTATGATATCAGCCAGAAATTCTTTGGCTTGTTTTGTCACTTGAAGAATTCTTAAGAGCGTTTGGGCCAAATCATCCTGGAAAAGGAATAGGAAAAGTGATGCATAATGATGATCAAGTTCAGTCGGCATGCCCTTTGGACTGCTCGGGGGGGGGGGTTGGGGGGTGCACTTGTCCAGGAGAGTGATGCGGGAAACCTTTAGCATCCTGACCCTGTCCCATAAAAACACAATTACGACAAAATATACCTGAGCAGAAAAAGAATCTGCACTGTTCCTAGTGTGCGTCGTTTGTGCAAGCAGATAATTAAAATAATTTCTCTCTTATCCTCTGCTTATAAATTCCCTCATAAATTCCCAGACTTTTGATGCGATTCGTAATACCCTGCCCCATGATTTCAAGTATGGGATTGCTTCCCGTTGTTATCCTTCAGTTCCCCAGCAATATCCTTTAGTTCTCGATGCAGAATTCAGAATTAAGCAACTTAAAGCAGGGACCAATGGGGAAAGAATTTCTGTTTCAAAATCTCAAGGGCAAGATTTAAAATGGTAGAAGTCTTTAAAAATAACCCCGAAAAATACATGCTAAAACAATATTGAAATGAAGAAGAAAACAAGATAAATCTTTATTTATTCAATGCGGAATCACCGGTAAAGATATGATTTAACGAAAACACAGAGCGAATATAACAAGTCTGTGTCTAAATGTTATACATTAAAAGGCAAGGATCCTACCTTAGCTCTTAGGCTTATAGCGGGTTCCAGCTCTTTGCATAACAGGAAGTAGTTTTGTTTAATGTACTAAGAATAAAAAAGAACAAGCGAATTCAGAAGATTTAGACAAACCGTTCAGCAGACGAAAAATATGCAAAGAAGGATAAGACATCGAGAGAAAGGGGCAATAATCGATCCAACGCAATTACGCCGTACCTTTCACTAGAATCCGTGCGATTCTCGGAATCCATGAACTACGCTAATTTTTTCGTTTTTTCAAATTGTGTAATCATAAAAATGTATTGGGGTATCCGCTTCGGCTTGGGAAAAAATTGAAGCAAAAGAAAACAAACATTATACAGTTGAATGATAACAACATGACCCTTAAATTCAAATTTTTAGATCCAAAAAAGAGATGCTATGTCCATTAACTAGTATATGATTAAGATAAGCACTGTTTTCGATAGCAGCCAAATATTCTTTTAGAAATTAGCATTGAAAAGTAATAAAATATATTTGATATAATTAGTTACAGACAAGAACTTTCTTCAACGTGAGCTATGGAAAGTATAAAATCGAATTACCTCGTGGAGGTCTCTGTATTTTGAGATTGGCTGTATGGCAACTGTCTGTGGCACAAATTAAACAAATGTACAAGCATTAATGTAGCTACAGATGAAATTTTTAAGGATCTATTGCATGAAAGAAGCAGAGCACGTAAAATTTAGATTATATTCTAAAGAACTAAGTGGATAAAAACTTTGAGTGGTGGGTGCAATAGCAGGATAATGGGAGAGGGTGCAGGGGGAGGGGGTTAGGAAATCATAATTTCAAGGCTTACGTATCCCTTGGATGCCTTTAAATTAGAGCTGTATACAAACAAATAATAACAGATGCATTCAGCTTTTTAACCCCGTACTGCCTTGTTCGTAGCAGTTTCAGACACATAAATTTGTGCTCAACATCAACCAATTCAGTGCAGAACCATCTTTTTTACAAAACTATAGAAGTCCTACCTCGGGTTTTCAAACCCTTCTCTGTTATTAGCCATATGAGAGGAGGTTACCAAACGCTGGCAATTTCAAATAATTTCAAGTTCATACAGAAAAATATAGGTGCATTACCTGGTACTTCACCTTAACGCGAATGGATGGCGTATCATTTTTATTGCTGGAGTTTTTCGGAGAAGGTCTTGGTGAGGTTCCCGGTAGGCGGAGGTGTAGCCATTGTTCAACTTCGTTGTTCGCAGGAATCGTGTCCAAAGGAACTTCAACAGACCCTGCAAGAAACATGAAAGATGCATCAGAAGACATTCATGTAGGATTAATAATGGTTCTAAAATGCTTTTTTAGGACTGAAATAGAGAAACCTAGAAAACAACTCTATGCGCCTTTGCCTTGATCAGTGAATTATTTTTTATCTTAAATGTCAATTTTTTTAATTTCCTATAGATTGAAAGGGGTCATGATGAAGAGGGTATTGGGGTGTGATACCCCCTATTGTTCAAAAGGTTTGAAAAAAATATTGTTCAAACGGCGAGGAGTTGTTTATCTTTTTACTTCCATAGGCAAATTTTCAAACCTGTCAGACAGATCAGCCAATCTAAGCAATATGTTTGCTTCCAATCAAATCTAGACAATGGTATCAATGATGAAGATAATGATAATGGTGATTGATAGTGATGAAAGTGATTGGTGAGGATAATATGATAATGATTATGATTGACGATAATCACGATTGGTGATTGAGAATCACGTTTGATGATTAATAATGATGAGGGTGGTGATTCAAGATGATGGTGATAATGACGCTGCAGATGATGATAAATGGTGATGATCAACCGTATGAGAAAAAATACCTTATCATTGAGAAAAATCGAGGAAAGGTGATTATTTTTTTGCAAGTTACTAAAACTTTTCATAGGTGGCTAAAACTTTTGCAAGATGCTAAAATATTTTTGCAATTTACCTAAAGTTTTCGCAAGTGGCTTAAAATCCTTTGCAAGTTACTGAAATTTTCACAAGTTACTAATTCTTCATGCAGGATACAAAATTTTTTGCAAGTTACTAAAATTTTTACAAGTTACTAGCTCTTTTTGCAGAATACAAAATTTTTTGCAAGTTAACGAAATTTCCCCAACCTTTTTTCACCTGATTAGTGTTCTCCCCTGTATTTCAACCCTTTCTACCCTAGAATGTACGTTATGTACCAAAATACAAGTAACTGATGAGCCTGAATTTTCCCGCTTTCTTATAAGCTTGTGAAATAAATATAAGAAGCAATTTTCAGAAACAAATCAGACTTTTAATAATTTAATCAAGAAAAATGTTCTTTAAAAACTCACTATTTTCTTTCCAATTGTATAATTATAAGGACTTCTCAGGCTGGTTCTGATATATTCCTAATCTTGCGAGAAAGTCGCTTTTAAAGATCAGATTCATTTTAAAATTTATTCCTTTTATAAGAACCTTAAAGTTTGATTTGAATCTTTTTTGCTGGCTTTTACTGTAGCTTCATGTACAATTTACTCCATACTTTAAAATCTATTAGGGAAAAAAGGACATTGCCTTGGGCTAACTAGTTCACGGACTTAATTTTTCCTAACTAAATTTGTCTTAAATTTTTCTTTACTGCTATTTCTTCTTTCCCAGATAATTTGAATAACTCACCGACAAAAGCACTCCTTTCTTTCCGTTTCTTTTTGCTGTCATTCTCTCTGAACACATAAAGACATAATCTTTCGACGCCTGGGAGGTCACTGCGAACAATAAAAACTAACGTTTACACTTGAACAGAAGCATGTTGCAAATTATGTACAATGCCTGCCAAAATCATGGAAAACTGAAGTCCGTTTGCAAGGTCAATTTCAGCCACCAATCCCCCCCTTCTCCCCCACGGAACAATGTTGGTTCACTATAAAACGGGTAAGGGAATTAGGGAGCACCTTCTTTTGCGCTTTCCAAATGATATTTGCCCTAAACTATCAACATTTTTTTATACATTTCAAAAAATTACAAAACAAGTTACTGTAATACCTAAACTACACGACCTTACATACAGTTCAAGGACGATACCCCGGAGAGCATTAACTCTGTCTACCCCGGGGCCACAACATAGAGAGGAAAAAATGCACGTTTAAAACTGCAAATACTTAAAGATATAAGAGGGGGTTGGTCCATCAATATTGTTCTAGGAAAGATATAAAATGAAATGAAGATTGCTGGATCTTCCAAGTACTTTTGGCAAGCATTGTAGTTTCTATGTACAGAGACACAAAAACCCTACAAACATCAAGACCTCGTTTGGACAATAGTTTTGCCAAAAAATGAGGATAGATTTGTTGACAAAAACAAAATTTTATATATCTGTACTTGTTCTTTTAAGTGTGAAAAAATAAATCACCAAATAAATCTTACTTGGAGACGTTTAAAATCAGGTCAATAGTTGCAAATTTATACTTCCAAATAAATCAAAGGAAGACACTTAATGACATGTTTTCCTGTGGTACAGAACACCGCTCAGCAATTGTAGGCCATAAAACTGCAGGTTTATAGGAAAGTAGAAAACCTTTTTGCAACTCTATCTGTGTACACAGTCAATACGAAAACGTCACAAAATAGATCAATGCGATACATTTTACCATGTTCCAGTCTTTGATCTGAGTCACCACAACCTGTAACACCAACACTCTGCCGGTAATCCAGCAGACTTCAAATGTTTTGATAACTATCTACAAACAGGAACTTGCACTTGGCACATAGAAATGGGGGGGGGGGGGGATTTTCAGTCTGATTTTTTGGGGTCAAACTTTTGCCTAACAGTGGTGAAAGATTTGTCAAAAATTATTTTTGGATCCTGAAAAAATACAGAAACGATTCGGAACTGCTAGGTACCAATTTTTGATTCAGCTTACTCACTCGAATGAAAACTGTTCGCCCCAAAAAAGTATATCAGACTTCAATTTCGTTGATGTCCTTCCGTAGAGAACTTTATCCAAGACAATTTCGCAGTAATACCTAGAACGAACAAGATTATATAATGGGAGATAGGATTCGGAATTGGCTTACATCACTTTAAACAAAGATTGAGATAAAAACAAATTTTTGATATTCAAAAAACGGTTGGGGAGATTTGAGGATTCTTTTTCACAAAAAGTCCATCTTTTTGGTTATCGTAAATAAAACGGTTGGGGAGATTTGAGGATTCTTTTTCACAAAAAGTCCATCTTTTTGGTTATCGTAAATAAATAGCGGGGGGAGGGGGGGGGGCTAGAGGGAACACCTTGAAAAAATACTTTGTGACGTAGCCCTTAAGGGTAACGGGAACCGTCCCATTTTGAAAGCTAAAATGAAATGAAACTTTTTTCAAACATCATCTTTCGCAATAACGGGGCGATTTTTTGCCTACAACAGGTTTTTTGCTTACTTTTTCAATACTTCAAGGTTGTTTGAACAGGTCCAGAAATATTGATGTCTTTAGTCAATTGAAAATGATAAACACGTCATAAGCATAAGTAAATATAAGGATAAGTGATGATTCCGTAGAGACTCCTTGGCTGTAGCTAAGTTTTCCTTCATGGCTAATCGACCTTTAGTGAAAAGGCTAAATGTTTACTCTGACTTAAAAAAAGGGACATACATAAAAGATGTGGTAAAATGGTTTGCAGTTGAGCAAACACATATAACTGCAGGGCAAATCGGTGACAGTAAGGATTGATTCGATTGGGTAATCTAGTTGTTTACATGCTTTCCTCGTACATCCTACCCTAGTGATTATTATCAAAACCAAACTGAATTAGGTTGAACATCACACTGGATTTTTTAAGGAGCTATTTCGATCTTATATGGTACTTACAGCCTATATCTACCAATTAACCAAGATATATTTAAAGATAAGCTGCTTTCACCGCAAATCAACAAGCATTGTGTAGTTTTACCTTTTCTTTGATGGAAGCCCTTTGGCCTCAAATAGCCAAACATCCAGGGAGGTGTCAACCCTTTTCTCTTTGTCTCGATTTGGGTAAATTATTTCCTTGAGGCTAAAACAGAAAAACCAGTTACAGACAAAATTCAACAAATAATTTCAAGCAAAAAATAGCAAAATAAAAAACGTAAAAAAATAAAGAGAGGCTGATAGAACTATCGAGGCAGAATATCAGAACTGGATGCCGAGTTATAACTCGCATTTTTCACTCTCTACTTTGCATTGAAAATTTGGTGTCTTCATTCGTAAATTTTCTAACTTCAACTGAATTTGCAATTATCAATAATATTGTTAAGATATAAAACAGCTTTTAAATGAACAATTATCTTAACCAGCATGTGAAAACAACCAGGGCGTAAATATATGGGCAAAGGGAGGGAGTCTCGCAATTTGCTTTTTTTTCATTACAAAAATTGGCCTCCTATTCTAGAACGAAAGTTTAAGCTTCGTTTCATTCTAGATTTATCCCAGTTGGACAGCATATCCATTACAAGTAAGCTAAAAAAATCTTTAAAGCTGGGAAACTGTTAAGCTAACCAACTGGTAAGCTAACTAACTGGTCAAAAAACAAACAAACAAAACAAACTAACTTGTTTGCAAAGTAAACTGACATAACTAATTAGCTACTAGATAACTAGCTTCTTTCATTTATGGGTAAAATTTGTTGCATACTTTTAATTGAAGAATCATCCTTTTTCTTTTTACATTTGATTTGAAAATACTTTATTAATTATTTCTACCCACGGACCCAAAAATGATGACGACTTTACTATAAAAAACATGCATTTGAAAACAATAATTAAACAGCAATTTGACTTCAACATGAAGGTACCTGACTATGCCTAATGACAACCAGCCGAAAGCATTCATGAATTTTCACAAAATTTAAGATTTTTGTGTCCTTCACAGAGTGTATATATTTCGTAATTTTTTGCTTTGAGTACTGAACTTTGCATTTTTTTTCTGATTTTCAAGTACTTGTTTCTTCAAGCCTCTTTAATACTGTGACTCGTAGGAGAAGAGAGCATTTAAAACTTTTTCTAATATGTCATGATCGGTACTCCCCTGATTTCATCCAATGCAACACTTACTGGAAACCTCAAAACTCTCAGAAGGGATGAGACAACGGTTTTAGCTAAAAAATTTTTAAGCAGAAATTGAGTTTTCAAGCGGAGTAAAAGACACCTAAGATTAGATGTACAATATTTCATTTCATACCTTAAAGGGTCAGCGGATAACTGGACCTGCTCAGTCATGTTTACACCAAGACAAACTCATGAGCATAGAAAATCAAGGTTTAATGTCGCCGTCGGTTGAAGAATCTTCCCAAATCACTTTGTTGTTTTAAAAATTTTCGAGGATTCAACAATTGATGAGCCCTGTAAGCTTGAATCAATGGATACAGAAGTACAGTCACAGAGACGGCCTAGTGCTTGCGACAGCAAACAATTCAAATGAAAAGGCCAGCGAAGAGACTCACGTGGAATGTGGAAGTACACTGGCACCTGCCATGGTGTTTCGAAGAGAAACTAGCAATCAAATTGATCGAAATACAGTGCTTACGTCACCAGGGCAATTCCAGCCGTAAAAATTACAAGTTTAAATAAATTCAGGCCACATTTGTGAATTGTCGTGACGTTTGTGTTAAAGAAACAAACTTCAAGAAACCAAGAGTATTTGGTTGAAATGGCGATGAGAGAATTTGAATGTTTATTTACAAGGAGCAAAGGCTTTTTACAACGAAGCTTAAATATTTAGGAAACTGAACAAAATGGCTTTCATTACCCCGCCGAGCTCCAGCTTAATATTGTCTTTCTTGTATATTTTTGCTTCGTTCAGCCTCGTGCACTTGTTATTTTTCTGTAAATCCTATTTCCTGCTTTTCAAAGTGACCTAATCCAAAATATGATATTCAGCCCAGATGCCACAGCTGATTGCATTTTAGCAGCATCTGCTGAAATCTTTAGTTTGATTCATAATGTTTTACTGACTTTCCCAGCTAAACAGTTTTGTAACCTAGCAACGAGTAGCAGTCAATTTGCAACTACCAAAAAGGTTGCCGATGACGATTTGCAAATGTGAAAAGAGCAAAAACAAAATCAAAATGAAAGCGTAACAAGTTGAAAATATTTCGAATATAAAATGAAGAAAAAAATGCTTAAAGTTGCACGACAGAATCAGAATTAGCGCCCTGGATATACGCGATTTGTTATGGAAGATTATGCAACAAATTGAAAATTTGTCCGATGCGCCGGTGAGTGTTGCCAAGGGGCATTTCATTCTTGAAAACAGCGTACGAAATTTCCCAAAAACAAAAGGATTTCTAGGGATCTTCAATAAAAATATTAGGATTTCTGCCAAAGGTGTACGAGATTTTTATGGAGTGATTTGCCCCTCGAGTGTGGCAGTGATAACATTCCATCAAACAAAAGTCAGTGAAACAGATAAAAATGTAGGGGAGGGGGGGGGTTGATTTTATGTCTTCACATCGTCCTTAACAGATATCTAGAATGATAATTTTGTAAATTTCTTAACAAATTTCTTCCTTTTAACAAAATGCCTTAAAACTACCCTTAAATGTCTTGCCTTTTTTACTTTCGTAAGCAAAATGGAGTTTAGCTTGAGAGTAGCTGTAATCAATTAGTCCCATTAGGTAAGCAAAGTCAAATGTTCGATGCAAGAAAATTTTGAAATGGTGAAGAAAAATTGTCATCATTTTGGGAAAAGTTGACAACTAAGAGTTAAGATGAATAGAACTCTGTGCTTAAAGAAAAATCATTTTTAATGAAGGGTTACTTTTGAATTCTTGAAAACTCTTAGATGGTGTGCTTTGCTATTTAAAAGCTAACGAAAGAAATAAACATATATTTGCGTTCATATGTAGTTTCATTTGAATACTGCTAATGTCACTAATAGTTAACTAGATGACCTTGTGTCTTGCACCATCATAAGAGGCATAAATTCCTGTAGTTTTAGTCGTGGATAGATTCTAAATTAGTAAAAAAATTGAACATATTAATTTCCAAAGCTTAATTCGTCTGATGTTGTTTAGTTGCGTTGCAGTCTATATTTTAGAGTGGGCCTAATAATCAGAATTTCCCGATAAAACTGTCGGATCGATCAGAGACTTAGACGGCAAAGTGCAAGCCCTGCCTCTTAGTCGCTGTCCGTTCACTTGAATCATAAAAATAGAAGCGAGAACTCTTACCCGGCAACCCAATTGCTTGCATCCTCGGCTGAATTGCAAGTGAAATACCTCGTTTCTAAAGGTGTTGTAATTTGAAAACAGTGACTTCTGTGGAGGACACTTGAGTGGACCGGTCGAACAACTGTGAGGCCACGCAGCGGCAAATCAATGGACTCAACCTGCAACGATAGATGCAAATAGTTCATTCAATGATTCAACTGATCTTTTAACTTCTGCAATTTAGCTCCTGCAAAAATATATGGTTTAGTTATTTGAGAAGAAAAAGTTCAAATATTATCAACAGTTTCTATCAATAGGTTATTGCTAGTAAAGGAATGAATGAAAATTTAAGAAAAGTTATTTTCCACGAGAACGTCGACTGGAAAAAAGACTGCAAAAACCATAATATGTTAACCGGAATGGGAACTTAATCTCTTGTTTAAGTTCAGTCCAAAATTTTGCTAAATATGACTTTTTCATACATGATGACTTGATTCTAGCGAGAGCTGAAGATCACAGTCTATAAAGCTGTCTATATGAATAGAATCAGGTCGACGTTTCGAATGTCGTATCTAAGCTCCCTTTCACCTCCAGTCATCAACCTCTTTTGGCTTGCTTTAAATACAATTCTACAAAGTGCAGCATCACAAAACACACACGCATACTCCCATATCTTTGACAAAGCAACAAGATCTATAAAAGTTCCCCCCGGTATGCAGGGTCATACAGTATTGACATCCGATATTGACATCCGAAGTATGGGGGTACTGACATCCGATATATGCGAGACGGTGGTTTAGTATTCTAAAACCTTATCAAATTGATTGTTTGGAACGTTTAATGATTGTCTTCGTTCTATAATTTTCGTTCTTTTCCCGAAAACTGTCACTTCAGGTACCACTTAATCCTAAAACAATGTTGATTGTGAAATCATATCATACAAAGCATATTGAAAGCATTTTTCATAGACCAATTCGTTATTGTGTAGAGTTTAGTCTACCAAGACTAATGTATCGTGTAAATTGAGACGTTAGTGTACCACGACTAATGCCAATGGTTGTAGGCCCAAAAGTCCTCCTATATTCATTTTCATACAAATAAGATACGTATGTCATTTAACGACAAATAACCGCCTTATTCCTTATTACTTTATGTTTGGGTTGGGTTTTAAGCGCTGCTTGAATCATGATAAAATGATATTTTCTTGATAGGAACTGCCTACTGCGTCTCACGAGATGCCACGACAAGGAGCATAATAAAGAATAGCAATTACGGCAGACACATTGTGATCATAAGAGCTGGAAATTAGTTTGTCTTGTCTTTTTGAAATCTCAACGTCTTTCTTTCTTCGTGAAACATTAAGGTACTATAAAATATTCATGCAATACAAAAGCCCGTGATTTTTAACGGTTGTGTCGTACTTTTAGTGACATGGGTAGAATCTACACTGAAAATATAAGGCAAACTTGACTGGTCAGCAACATTTAGTTGGTTATATGACGTAGAAGGGGCTTGGGTTTAAATGACAGGGCTTGCAAATGATGTTATAGTACTAAATTTGTGAAAAGATGTTTCAATTCAAATTTAGTCATTTTTGTCAAAAAAGCTTATGCATGTCGACAGAAGCAATCAGTAAATTTCTTCAACGGGCGTAGAGCCAAGGGGCGAGGGAAAATTGGAAAATATGAAGAGCATGATTTGCCACAACCTTTTTTGGAAAGTGTCGACGATGCTCGTTATCAAGACCACATCAAGAAAAGAAAGGGAAAATTGTACCTACAGTCAGCTATAAAGAAAGAATGTGAAGTTTACAAAACAACTGGCAATCAAATATTCTTATACCAACTACCAAAAAGAGCAAACGGAACAAAACGAATAAAGTAATTTTTTCAGAGGTAATTGCAGGAGAATACCAAATTTCTAACAGAAAGGGTTCATGCATCCATCGCACGAGTTCAATCTGAAGGGGAGGGGGGGGGCTGTTGGAGGATACTCAAACAAAACCAATAAAGATTAAGTTGCTGAATAAGCTGTTCAGAGTAAATTGCTAAACATGAAAGCCTTCTAAGAAAGGCTTGATGAAAAGAAAAAAGGAAGACCTTGACTAGATTTCACCGCTTCTGAAACTAAACAATGATCGATGCTATGAGCTTATCATGGCGATAGAACCTTAAATCGACACATCATCGATATGGAATGGGTTTTCAGTGCGTCTTTTACGAGAGCCGTGACCGCAATCTTCCCCTGATAAATGGAATCTAATTGAGTAAAGTTCATTCAAACTAATAATGATTCTTTCAACCATTCCTCCTAATGGAGCCACTGTGAAAAATTTGGTTACCAGCTAAAGGCATACAATTTCATATGCATGAAATAAGCAACGGAGCAAGAGGCTTTTGGTTTCAAATCAGGGTAAATCTATGGTTAGAATGACTTAATCATTCATGGTATCCATAAAATGAGCGACTTAAAACTAATCAAAACATCAAAAATCTAAAGGTTTTCCAGCCCCATTCAAATCGCAATCCGTTAGCAAGATGGCATAATAGCTATTCATGAATTACGTGAACTGTCTCCTCGGCAAAGATAAATTTAACGTATAAGCCCTCTACAGGTACACCCAAGTTCAAAATCCTTCTGTGGATCACAGAGCAGGGTGCCAAGCAAAAAATACTAAACACAGTAACAAAGAACAAAATTTTTGGGGATCCTCTTCACATCTGATGATGATACTCTCGAGTCCGGAATAATTTTGCGAAAAAAACCACCAATGAAATCCTTATTCAAGAACCCCCGTTAACTACTTTTGGGTCACGTGTATCAAGAAACTTCAAGGTCCATACAACAAAGCACGCCATAGCGTAGCGATTTTCACGTAACTGTTATGCTCGATATGTTAATACGTGTTTTATACAACGTATTTTTATATTCTTGGTTTTTTTAGCCTGCGTCACAGACCAAAAGGTTTTTTATATTTTCGTTTTTTTCATATTTGCGTTTTTTTATCTTTTCGTTTTTTTATCTAAATAAACCAACGGCTTGTCTTTTTTCTTTCTACTTCCAATTTAGAGGAAATGAAAGCCTTTTCCCATGTTCATCATAATTTGGGAAATTTCCGCCCACCCGCCCCGTTTAAACCAAACCCCATCTATTCCGAATAATAATTATTATTATCATTGATGACTGTGACTTTGTCAATGATTGCATTGAAGATGATCATTATTCCATGATTAATACTACAAGTGATGATGTTTTGATGCTGAGGATGATTAATGACGATTGAAGATGATTGATGGTGATGAGGATGATTGATGATGGTTGAAGATGATTGATGGTGATGAGGATGATTGATGACGATTGAAGATGATTGATGGTGATGAGGATGATTGATGATGGTTGAAGATGATTTGAGATGATTGTGAGATGAGGATAATTGATTTGGAAAAAAGATGATCGAAGTAGTCTGATAATGATTGCAGGAGATCGATGATGATTGATGATGTTTGAATACGATTGAAGCTGATTGATTACGATACAATATTAATTAATATCTTTTACAAAGGCTTGTAGGCCGGAATGGCTTATCGTCAGTTAACCATAAATGCAATTCAACTATATGATAACAAGAAACAACCAATACAAAATATAAGAATATTGTAAGTGATCAAATATCATTATCTAGATTGAGATAGAGCAGCACCCGAATGATTCCCGTGGATCAAAACCCAGCGATATAAAATCAGCTATTGATTTAAGACCAGGGACGCCGGAGAGAGGGGCAAGGGGGGCTAGTTGATAGGAGGGGCAAGGGGGGTAAAGTGCCCTTTTCATAGAAGTGCTTTTTTCATAGAAGTGCCCTTTTCATAGAAGTGCCCTTGACGCCGGCCTTTTGTAGGAAATTCATGACGACAATTTCTCGAAACTTCGAAGAAATTTCTTATGCCAAAATTTAGCCGATTTTGAGATACCGACAGAAGATCGAAAGAAAATGACAGTTACGAAAGAATTGTTGGTAGCTGGAAATTAATTTTTCAAATGCCCTTTTACTCAAGCCCGCCCCCTTGCCCCTTGATCGTTCCGGCGTCCCTGTTTTAGACTGTCCTTATCAACCAAATCGTCTTATTAACAATGTTAATAAGAGGTTCGAAAAAGAGAGGTTTTTCATCAAACTAGTAAGTGGTGAAAACGAAAACCAGCAAACTTTAAAAATATTATCTTCCTTTTGCACAAAAAAATATTAGGGAAATGTTTGTTTAATCGGCATTTTAAAACTTTGAAGTCTGTCTTACCGTTACAAAGACGTGCAAATATTTTCTCAACTTAGGTCAATTTGTATTTTTTGCTTCCGTATCAAAACAGATCAAAGGAACCTAGAGAGCGAACGCGCATGTTTTCGACACTAAATGTATTAGCATGGCACAACTAGATGTTTTCTTCAATTGTTTATGGTATTAGTATCTTCCATTTCTTTACACTTGCAGCCCAAAAGATCGAATGATTTGGCACACGCTTCAGTGCCGCGAAGCGCAAATGTTTGGTTGCGGCGCGTAACTGAATTTGACATAACTCCACGGCCAATTCAGAAGGTGCCGCCACGATTCAAGAAGGCTCAAAATCGCTGAACTTTAATATAAATTTAAGAATAATGCACGGCTCAAGCTTCATCAAGAATTAAGATTTTTGTTTATTAAACTTTTTTGGAAAACAAGCGAGATTCACGATAAATGTTTTGAAATAGACGTATCTGGCCTTGGAGTCTTAGAACTATTATGCAACACCGTTGCACCTTGTGATCTTAGGCTCAAATAAAAAAGGTAAGAATATTGAGGCTCAGCAAAAAATTAGGCAAATATAAAAAAAGTTTGAACGGTACATAAGGTCACACCACTATTTATCAGATAGCGGCTTGGAAGTAGCAACATTGTCCCTGCCATTTTTCTCACAAGGGGGAAGTGCCCCTTTTCCGGGAAAATTACGTAAAACGCTCGCTTTTCCGGAAATTATTGTGACTCCTAATTTTTCTGGACTTTGCAGTTTTTAAACAAGAAGTGTTTCTAGCCATTAATCTAGAAAACTGGCATGGTTAAAAAACCTAAGAATTACTTAAGTAACATGATCCTTTGTAGTTCAGAATTCTAAAAACGGTTAGGTAATAAATACTCAATAAACATTTTAAAAAATTGCAGGGAAGGTTGCCATGAATTGTATTGGTCGGAAGGAAGTCGTATATACTGAGCGTGACCGCGTGATGGGAGATTTGAAGCCCAAAGGGAGGTTTACCTGTCTTATGAAAGGAATCGGAAACTCGTTCATGTTAATCCAACGTAAGTTAGTCTTAAATGAATAGCGGAGAGCAGATTCTCTAATAGCAGTGGGTAGATCTTTTGTATAAACGTTACGCAAAGTAATAGTTTCAGCATCATCTAAGCAACAATATTTTAGTGAACTCCGCTACGCTGTGTCAATTGGCTCACTGCATAGGAATGCTTTTCAAAATATGATATTTGACAATGAATGAGCAGAACGGGTCATAAACTCTCTTTTTTATAAGAACCAGTAAATTTAAGTTCAGGCTGACTGTTCTTAATTTTTTCGAAAATCTGAGGCTAGATTGTTCTTAATTTGTTCTTGAATTAAGAGGGTGTAAGCAGTGCTATTGCTAGCTTTTTCGCTCTAATGAGGTGTTCAGGCCTTATTTGCCAACAAAGTGAGTGAGACAGCCTTAATTTGCTGACAAATTTGAATATTCACCGAAAAAGCACCCACACATCGCTAAAAATCCTCCATTTTGAGAAAAAACGTTGTTCAAAATTGCATTTTGCAGAAGCTCAGCCTCAGCTTGTTCTTTATTTGTTCTTAACTTTTGACCAGTTTTGAGGCTCGTGTTCTTATAAAATTGTTCTTAAATTGTTAATAAAATTGTTCTAAAATTGTTAAAAAAGAGTGTATTTTATAAAAATACAAATAACGATGCGCTTTTGCTTGGTGAAAGGTTTACAGTCAGGTTGAAAGAACAACAACCTTAATGCTCCTCATACTCGGATGTTGCTAAAGAAATGATTAGTGATAGTAGTGATTGTCATTGTGATTATAATTATGATTATGAGAGTATTGTATTGTAGTGTTTTCTACCTAGCTTCTGAAGATAGCTTTAGGACTCTGAAAAGCTATGCTTATTGAGCAATGTCCAGGACCTTCTACTCAATGTGGCTACACTTAGTGACCCCTTTGCCTGGAATTACAGAGAGCTGGAGACTCTCCTCACTCTGAGAGAAAGTTGGGTAATGTCAGGGACCTGAACCAAGGATCTTTGGATTTGTAGTCAAACCAAGGATGATTTCAGGCACTCAAAGTGAGGGACTAGCCTGGTTACCATAATTTGTGTTTTGTTTGGCTTTTCATTACAATTCCTCCTTTGTTTGGAATTACATGCTTTCAATATTTATTCACTGTGCAATTGTGGATTATAAAATGTTTAATTATCATTCCATCAACATTTTAATTTCCATGATAGAAAATTCATATCAAGTAAATTGCTTACTGAAACAACTTGGCCCACTTTGCTCCAAGAAATAAGATAGTAAAAATTATAAAATTGCAAAAACAAGTATCCTCAGTAAAAGCAGTGGAAGAACTACAGAAGAACATTTTTCAGCCTAACTTGCATTCTACACAACAGTACAGTGGTTACTAGATGCTATTTATTGACTACTATTTAACTGAATAGGATAAAAAAAAGTTTATTAGTAATCTATGATGTGCCAACAGTATTTGGGGAAGCCAAGAGAGCTTTGTTTCACCCCCTCCCCCACCCCTTAGGCACCACTCCGGATAAAAAGTTCACATGCATTTTTACAGCTAAGACTAAAATTTGATCACTCCAACCAAAAATCAGAATAAATGAAGGAAGCTGGAACTTTTGGTTTTACAGAAGTAAAAAAAATAGCATAATATATAAAGTATTTTTTGCCTGATACTATTCAGAAAAGGTTGGATAACAAAAGATTCCTCATATATAAAGTTTTTTTCATCTAAACTTAAATAAAAATATTACTGAAAACTTGATAGTTATCCAACATCTTATACTTAAGGACAGTTAAAAGAATTCTACAAACATTACTTCAAGCTAAAAATAAAAGTACTTCACATGACAAACACAGTATTCTTGCATCCTTAATTTGTTGAGTTTTGCACAGAGGCTCTAATACTGATTTTTAGAGACACAAAAAAATTCTATACCATACTCTGAACAGTTTTGTCACATTCCAGATTGCTGAAATTTGTTTCTCTGGAAAGATCTGCTTGACTTGCATTTTGAAAGCTTGGGATACTGTTGCATAATTGTGCAAGATCAAAGAAATGATTCTTGCAAGGACAAAACAAAAGCCTCTTATGGTAGCCTCTTCTGTAAAAAACTAGCATTATACACAACACTAAAAAAATGATGACACATTCCTTAAGAGAAAAATATTGTGTTTGTGGAGACAATGATTATTATGGCTAGCTGACGACAATTATAGTGAAAAGAATAATGAGCTAGGCAATCATTGTAATTGTGATGATGATGATTGTGACTTTGTTGATCTCAATTTAATATGGACTGACAAAATCATCTGAATACACAAGTATTTGCCAGAAACTGTTAATAAGAAATACAGTAAATCATTCTCCTAGGCGGTGGAAAGGAGGCTTTGATATTTCACTAAAAACCAAGAATTGACAGAACCCACCCCCTTGTCGAATTATCAGTAAATAAAAAGCAAGGAAACTGGAGGTGATGAAGTCATCAATACCGAAAAGAACAACCTCTTCCGTCATAACAGACAAGCTGTTGACTGAACCAGTCTAAAGAGAATCAATGTCGATGTGAATAGCAATAAGATGAAAGATCGACATTTCTGAATATCCCATAGAAACATTCAAATAGAAATGGGAGAACGATTTAAATGGGAGAAAATTCATCAGCACAGTCAACTGATGCAACATTTCCGGGAACAGAACTAGATATCACCGTTTGACCGCAGGTCACAAAGTTATTTGGATCAAAAACGAAACAAATTTGCTATGACTAAGAAAATAGACATCTTTTCGCTTTTCAGTGTAACTGCATCTTTGAAGCCTGTTTCTGGTGTTAAAGAGAACGTGTTTGTATCTACTATTCTAAAAATTTTAAAGATTGGGCGTAGGACAATTTTTTCAAAGTCGGTGTGATCAGTTTTGATGTTGGCCTATGTATGCGTGCTGGTGGTGTAGTTTACAGCTTGTGAATAGGATAAAATCTGCTCAAAATAATTAGACTGAAAGTGTGCGAGACTATATTGACCATTTGGAAATAAAACAACTAAATTATGTACTGCTCGCTTTGTATCTAGGTTTGCCTGGAACATCTGCTCTGAAATTTCGCACACACCAAAGCCGAAATGAGATGTGAACAAAGGTTATTTCAAAACATGAATATTTCAAAGTTTATCAACAGCACAGAAAACCTGCAGAGGTCGAAAAGGTCACGGTGTATTTTAAAATGAAGGCGAAATTACGATGTCTTTTCTAAGGCAACGCCGATAGGATGGCGGCCTTCCACGTGAATGATATCTCGCTTGAACGAAATAATTTCAAGTGAATAAGACAAAACTATCTGGAAAAGGTCACTGATTAATTTGCTGGTTAAAAATTATAAGACATCACTTACAACCATCCTAAGTTCGTTCTCCCCTGCGCTTGATCCATTCTGATCAGACGAAATTTTTCGAATAGACAGCTCAGACTTTTCCATAACCATTTTTGACCGCGAAATAGGTAAGAAAATGACTTAAAAACATAGATAAAATCACTTCAAAGGCCAGCAATGTTCAACGGTGCGGTTGGTGGCAATAGCATAACATATCCAGTCGTAGATTATCGTCAAACTAATCTTTCTCGATGAACGAAATCCTGTCGGTTACGATCTTGTTACACTCCAGTCGCGACTGACCACTGGCCGGGGGGAAGCCACCCAAGCAAAGACTTCATAACAATGGGGGAGAAAATGGTTTACATATTGGAGAAAATAACGAGTTTTTGTTTTGTTTACATTGACTCAACAGATTCAATGGGCAGAAGAGTAAAGCATGCGTCATAAAAGTGGTAGTGCAGTTTTAAACGTCCTTCAAAATAGAAAGCTTCTATGAGTAGTTGGGAATAACCAAACAAACGTAATGTGCGAAATGATTCAAAATATGAACGCTGGATTGCATTGATCAAAGTCATGCATTGATAAATCTATTCTGTTTTCTGAATACCTTTGAGAAAAAACTTTTCTACTTTTACAAAGTATTTGGGAAATAGAAGCATTTACACTAGTTTTTCAAAGAAGACATTCACGACGAATTTGTCCTCACAAAAACATGTGGAACTTTTTCTATTGCAATCAAGTTTTTGTAATAGATTAGATAAACTGTTGTTGAAATTCATTTAAAAAACTCCGTCTCATTAAACTACAGGTTCTTGTCACCTAGGGGTGATTTTGGCGAGTTTTCAATTTTATCGGAAATAAGTGGTGTCTCATATATTGAATGGGCCAGAACGCCCTCCTCCCCTTCTTCTAGAGCTCACTGACAATCGAGTTCACTATCTACATGCTAATAATTTATGAACAAACAAATCTGCAAAAATTTATAAAACAATACTGTTTGAAGAGGGAGATGGCGACACAAGCGAAAATGTGCAAAGATTTATTGTTGAATTAATGTACTAAGATGTAAGGCAGGGAAAAACGAGGCAGTTCATTGAAAAATTACGAGGTTTGGAGAAGGGTGCCGCCATTAGCTCGCTGCGGTGCAGCACGGGGACGGATTTTAGAGGCAAGGATTGGGGAGTGTCATATAATGATTGGATATTGGAGCCACACCCTTCAGATGGCTAGCGAATGTAGGAAACGCCCATTTTTACAACTAACCTTTAACGATAAAATAAGAAGATAAACCAAGTGAAACCTTTGCGTTCTGCATACTAAAAATTCATTTAACAGAATCAAAGCAAAATTGAACGAATGACAGAAAAGCATTGTAGGGTGTCGCAACCCCAACACCCCTGGTATGTGCGTCACTAGTGCAGTGTCTCACCTCTTTTCCAATTGCACATATACAAGCCTTATTTCAACCAAGATCACCCAAGTATCTTCAATAGCAGAACTGTAATAAACTTCGAAGTGACACACATTCTTTTGTACAGAAAAATTAATCTAACAGAGTTCACCGTACACGCCCGTCCTATATTTCGGTTTCTTCACAAAGAACCCAAGGCTTAATAAATTATTTAAAGAATTTCTACACGTGAGTAACAAACCGCGATTTTCATCTCACAACTTTGTGCGGTAAAATAACTTGAGAATAAGAATTTCGGTTTTGGAGTGTGTCGAAACAGTCTCAAGATAATCTTTCCAGAAACGCACAATACGAGTTTAGGAAACGCGTATGTTTCAAATGAAACTTGATAAATGCTTTTTAGAACTTTTTCTTAAGGTTGTGGAATATTCGTGAACTTTTGCCTAATTGACCTTGATAAAAACGACGTCAAGATAATATTAGGCAAGCCTTTTTACAGTTAGTACATCCAGAGCGTTTTATATGTCAAACAGAGGGTTTATTAAATCGTTCAGTTCTACACGGGCGACTACAACCATTGCCGAAAGTACTTGGAATACCGAGCGATTTGCGTTGTGTTTTTATATTTTTCAATTCTTTTCCCAGATTCTCCTATTTCCGCACCCCCTCCCCTAAATAATGTCGATAATTTCGAAACATATCTTAGAAGTCGCAGAATGAAGGGCTCTTCCTAAACCCCTATGTCGTTTTGTCGTAAACCAACATTGTTCAAAGGGGGTGGCTGAATTTGCCGTTGGAAAATGACGTTAGTGTACCAAGCCTTTTGGCAACCATTGTAGCAGGGCTTTCACAACAAAGTTATAGCTATGACGATGTGGGTGAGTGCAGAATCACTGCTAGCATTTGGAAGACAGCCCCCATCCCCCTACTCGCACCCAACTGTCTAAATTACATGAGGTGAGGTTACACAAAGACAGCCTCGAATCGAGTGCTGGCAAAACTTTTCGATTTTACAACAAAGGAAACCAACGATAGCAAGTTGGAGTAGCGCCAGAATTTGAGTAAATATCTGATAGGATAATTGATCCAGAAAGAGTCTTTTTGGTGCTTTCTAATCACAGTACGCTAAGACTAGATGTGAAAAAACCCCTGGCGACAGAACTTAGAGCCTCGAGGTGGTAGAGAACTAAAAAGGTTATTTGTAGTGGTTTCGTATTTTGCATCATGTTCTGTTAACGGCTGCCAAAACAGAGAACAATTTCCGGATAGTGTAAATTCTTGATAAAGCTTTCTAATTCAATACCGCAGTGAAATTCATTCTATTTTGAAAACTATTTATCAAGTGCAATCAAATATACTTTATATCTTTCTTATACACGCTTTTTTTGTTATAAGGAACCACTTTACAAAGAACCTACTTTGAATCTCTATTATGAATCTCTGTTATGAATACTATAAGGAATCTCTATTAAATGTAAGGGCTTATTTAGTCAAAACAAATTAAGGAACTATTAAGGAACTTTTGGTACTACAATTTGATTATTTGAGGTCTACGAATATGGAACTTTTGGAACTAGGCCTTGAGGTAGGTTCCTTATATAAAAAAGCGTGTAATTCATCCAAACTTGTCAAAATATTCATTCAGTCCGTATTCAGAATGTTCATTGGGACTGACGTCATCAACTGAATTCGATTCAATGACGAATTTCGCCAAAAAATGACAAACCATTTAAGCTCTGTTTACCTTACACAAACTAACGTGGGTTCGCCCAACGTTAAAACTAACCCAGGTTAGATTTTTGTAGTGTAAACGCAAACTAACCCAGGTTCGCCCCGCGTTAGTCAACCCATCTCGAAAGGTGGGTTCGTCCTAGGTCGAGCCTGGGTTAGTTTAGTTAAAGTGTAGGGTAAATAAACGCAAACCAGGGGCGAACCTGGGTTAGTTTCGATTAAGTGTAGGATAAATAAACGCAAACCAGGGGCGAACCTGGGTTAGTTTAGATAAAGTCTAGTGTAAATCAACGCAAACCTGGGGCGAACCTGAGTTAGTTTCGATTAAGTGTAGGGTAAATAAACGCAAACCAGGGGCGAACCTGGGTTAGTTTAGATAAAGTCTAGTGTAGATCAACGCAAACCTGGGGCGAACCTGAGTTAGTTTTTTTAGGACGCATGCGTAGTGATAGAAATGGTGCCAATTGCAAAACAATGCAAAGCGCGAATGAAAAGTTAGCATTCTGTCTATGCCACTTGACCATACAACTAAAAACTTTAAATTCGAAACTGGTGACATGGCTTATATTTTGCTGCTAATTTTTTATATTCTTTAATTTAAGTTGAAACAGGCTTCTGCTTTGACGCTTAAAGCAGTAAAAGATTACTGTTTGAGATAAAGTCTAAGTGGCTAAGCCACCCCCAACTCCCCCTCCTCCTCAGGGCCATCTCGGCTCTATACCTTTAACCATAGTTAACTGTGGCGTAATCCTCGCTTATGGAGTCCGCCATTTGCGATATCTAGTTTAAGAGAAGGCAACTCAAAAACACTTTTATTTGAAAAGAACTTCATTTTAAAACATTTGCTCTGCAAAAACTGTTTACTTTTGCGTGGTTGCTGTTGGAAAAAAGAGTAGCATTGCTTTGGAGATTACGTAGGGTGATATCCTGATAAACAACAAAAGTTGTTGTAATGCATTCTAAAATAAATTCAGTATTATCAGGAATTCCCACCCATAATTTCTAAAATGCTAAACAGTTAATAGAATACTTCAGCATTCGCCGCTCTTCAAACAACAACAGCAGCAAATAAAGGCATTGAGAAAAGTTATTGTACTGGAATGACGAGGGTGGCCTGCATCTGACTGAATATAGAAAAACGAATGTTTCAGTTAAGCAGTCTGTTTAGGTCAAGAAACGAATAAGAATACAGATCAATCCTTTGAAGTTTTTAACCATCACAGACTGACATAATCTATCTCCTAAGAGGACAATGTTGCTAAATATTGAATAAATAAAAGGATTTGCTCAAAGGGAATTAGCAAACTGTTACAAAGGTAAATAATTCACTCGACGTGAAACAGTTCTTTGTCTTGGTAAACCTATGAAGGGTTGTTTGGAATAAGTCCAATAACCAATACGCTATTATTGACAACAGAATGTTATTCTGCGTTTTAAACGAATAGGAACTAAACGGTCCTTTTGACTGATGACGAAGAAGTGGACGAGGAAGACGATGACATTATAGGCTAAAAATAATTGATAACCATTATTGTGATAATGATTATGATGTGTTAGATGATCGTAATGGTCGGTAATTATCATTTATAACGATGATATTATTTGGCCATGACATTGAAAACTAATGACAAATATTCATTATTATGATTAAATCATGATTATGATTATGATTATGATGTATATGATGATGCTAATAATTGGTAATGAATATTTATAATGATGATATTGTTTGGAGATAAATGATGGATTAAGATAATCGATGACAAGTGATGATAAGTTCTTAATTTCGTAAGAATAAAATAATAATATAAGCATATAATATCAAAAAGGAAACTACTGAAACTTCAGAAAGTTAGCGAAGAGCATGTTCATAAGGAGAAAGCTTTACTGGCATTTTCTTGGTCAAGCCAGAATCTCGGCTAGCAAGAATGTAGCATGATTGACCTAAATCAAACCGAATCAAAATCAGATAAAAGGTATCTCTTCCTATTGAAACCCTGAATGTCAGCGTCGACGAGATTTCAATAACAAATTAACGATTTCCATGTATTTTTCAAAGCAAAACGAGGTTTTCAAATAAACAAAGTTGTATGAAATTTTCATGGAGTACAAATTATATTTCTTCAACGGACCTTTCACCTCAAATATTGCGATTTGTATAAATAGAGGTTGCACAATGAACTTTATTGCGAAGTAAATTTCAAAAAATCTTAGCAAAGCTACTAGAAAGAGCATATATTAGAAAATTGGGGGGGGGGGGGCACCGGCCTCCATTACCACAGGAACCTACGCCTTTTTTGGACCTCTAGAATTGCAGTTATACTTTAAAATAAAAAAACCGGTTCGTTAGCATAAAAATAGCCTTAAAAGGTAATCATCCTGTTGTTAATCTAAAAAACGTAAGCATGTTCATTAAAGGCCTATCTTCAAATGTTACCAGGGCATAGGAAATTTGCCCCAAAAACAGATCAAAGAATTTCATATTAAGTGATGCCAAGATGCGGGGAGGGCTATTACTTTCCCTTCAATACCCTTCAAGCAAAAATGATAAGACTGTGTTTGGTATAACCCTCCTGGCGGGTCTGCCCCAACCCAACACAGGGCCCGCCACACGAATTTGGAAGTGGGAGGCCAAGGCTAAAAAAGTTGGGGACCAAGGCTTCTTACCTGTTTTACTGCAGCTTTTAAACTACTTGTTTCGCAAGAAAGTGGGGGGGGGGGCATGGCCACCCCGGCCTCCCCGGTGGCGCGGGCCCGGCAACAGGAAGATGTGTCCTTGCAGTTGACCGAATCCTTCTACCTACATTAATCATATGTAGACTTATTTGCAAATCTGCCAAATCCACAAAACGTGCTCCATCTATTAAAAGGGAATTCATCATCTTAACACTATGACACTAATGATACACTGAGATCGAATCCAATAGATTGGATTTTCAAATAGATTAGGCTGTATCAAAGAACACAATCGCATGTTGTTTGTGAAATGTCTAGATGACAGTTTAATGTCATAAAGACTAACAATGTAAAGATTTCTCAAAAATTTATCTATAGCAAAATACAAAAACCAAGACGTTACTAATATGGCTATCTCCTTTCAAATTCAATTCCGATGCATTATAATTACCACGGTTTAGTTAACTAAATGTAAGATCTGTATATTCCTTAATAGAATTTCGGCTGAATTAGGCTTTGTAATAGACAGACTTTTTAATGATAATGATGTTACGTCTGAAGCAGCATTTTACACAAAAACTTGACAGTATTGCACTTTTGAAACATATCGTGGCTTTATGTCACATGCAAGTTAGTAGTTAATGAGGAAGATCAATGAGTTCTGGATTTGGGGGAGGGGGGAAAAGAACTACTGAAAGGAGAGTTACAAGAAACTATAACAAAAGTCTTTTATATATAACTTATGAAATTAAACGAGAGCAGCCCACAGAGTGGTATAAATAAAATAAGGTATAATAAGTCATGAATACATTCAACTTTTTCTGTGGCATAACAAAATGTGAGTGCTATTTCTTTAAATTTCAATGCAAACCGGAGAGCCCCCTTACACCAAGAAGGCATACTTTATTGATATCTAGCTGTATTTAAAGTGCCCAAAAGTAAATTTTGAGATACTGTCACATGAGGGAAGGGGGAAGAAGTTGTGGTCAGAAATGTTTTCCGTAAGGGGGTGCATATTACCCCTGATAGAGGAGAGCCCAAAAGGGATGAAGCCCAGGCAGTGGGCTGTTGGTCTTAATATACACTGATCTGATGGAAAGAGGGGGGCATACGCCTCGAACCCCTTCTGGATGTGGCCCTGCAGAGCTACTTGGGTATAATGTATTATCAGCTCATGGATCCAACATATCACTTCAAGGTTGTCTGTCGAAAAAATTACAAATCAAACGAATAAGTGTAAAGATTTTATGGATTATGTTTTCGAATGAATTATGCTTGCTGTAGCCCCCGTCTGTCAACAAAGATGGAAAGATAAAGAAAGCATGGTATAAAAACTTGACACGGCATTAACATTGAGGAAATTTGAACAGGAAGAGTTAAAAATATTTCTTGACAAATCAAAGTAAATGTTGTATTCAAATTGTTTCCGGGCAGTGGATAATGTACAAAATACTCAAAAGCACTGAACTGTGCGAACTAAAAAAAGGAAAAAAAAACATTTGTGGGAAAATGTCTTGGCAAGTTCTTTGTTCCAAAGTTTATCTTTTTCTTCCTACAATTTCATGCATCAGGCAGCATATGACAGATTGAAACCAAATTAACTCCCATAAAAGATTTTGAAAAACACAACAGCAGCTTCATTTATGAAAAGATGCTGTTACAAAATTGTTACAAGGTCTCAAAGCAAGATATTAATCCTGCCCTTCCAAACATTTCTCTATGTTTCCAACTACTAGAGAGTTTGCAACTTTATTGCCAGTGCAAGGAAAAAATAATCATTTTCGCTGATCCAATTATCTGGGCGACTGGCTTTAATCTGAGTCTATCATGACGAATCTGAGCGTACAATGATATCTTTGTCTTTAAACTTTAATCCAATCGAAAATAACCTTACAATAGTGATAGTTTCGTTGAAGGCAGGTCAGAATTCTTGGAATATCTAGACAAACTAGCGTTTACAAGTCAATATACTATTTCAATCAACATCCGGCTTGTAACTAATTGAATAAACAACAGACAACTGAGAACTTTTATCATTCAAATCCAACAGTATATTAAGATATTCCTGTCACCCGGGCTTCGATCGGAGGAATGGACCCTAAGACCCCGTTCACACTAGCACGGATCCAAATGGATCTGTACCCAAACTAGCACAGATAGGCTTTTCGTTTACACTGGACCTGCTGGATCCGTACTCATTTGGGTCTGCTATCTGGACCTGCGTGGGATCGCTTTCCAACTTGGATCCGTTCCCGTTTAGGTCTAGTGTAAACGGCTGGAACCGAACCAAACCCAGCACACTTCGGATACGAGGCATAAAATTTTCTCCTTAAGAGGCCAATTGTTTACAAACAGAAAGTTCTTCTTATACTCAAAATGTAAGTGTTATGTTTTAATTCCTGGCTGCAGTATATTGCTTTTCTATGTGCTCAACACAGGATTCGTTAGTTGAGACTAGCTTTGGTTATATCTAAACAAAGTAGTCTGGGACTAGGCCTACATCATAACATTCAACAACATCGAAATTAGAAAATCCACTTCTGGGAAATCAGATTATGAGAAGTTTGTCAAATGAAAAATGACAAGAAAAGTTCAATGAAAAATAGGAAAACAGACTTTAAACAAAGTTTCTTTTCCCAAAACACGTAATAAAGATTGGATGAAAAATGTATCTTAAGTTAACAAAAGATTTGTTCACGTTATCGAAATGTCAAGAAATGTCAATATCGAATTACTTTCGAATATAAACGTACTGTAAAAACTATTTGTTACTTCTTGTTTGGTGTGTGCTTTTCTAGATGCGGCGTTTAAAAGAGGGCGGCCTCGATCAGAGGGCGGCGCTCTTCACAAATGAAGGTGTGGCGTTCAATAGAGGGCGGCGTTTATCAGAGTGCGGCGTTCAGTAGAGGAAAACGGTACTTGGTCATCTTCAGCGCAACTCTCAACGCATAACGTTATAATGAATGAAATCCTAATTGACCCCTACATACCACACTGAACACACACAAAAATCTGAGTGGGGGTACGTTTTAAGTTCCAATATTATTCTCCTTGATAGCATGCCTTTTCAGTATAACTTTGCGTGTTGAGTTTCTTTTATGGCATCGTTGAAACCTCTCATACCTTTAGGCATCTTTTATGCTTCTTTGAGTTTTCTGATGCTATTAGGTAGGACGGGTGCATCGGCTATTAGTGGGGAAAAGAGGCTTTTCCTGTCCATTCCCTCCCAATTATCAATCATGTTTGGGAGTTATTGTGTAACTTCCCTTAGTAACCCCTATATGGTAGGTTGAGCGATTGGCGCCGATGCACCAACGGCCCAACTCGCTCTCGATGATGTGGGAACGTAGCCTCATGACTGACCTTTCTGATGTCAATGGCAGTTTTTCTGAGGGAGCTTTATGCCCTTCATGTTGCATTGGTATTTCATTCCCGAGTAAGTAAATTAAATGAAAGAAATCCTAATTGACCACTACATACCACACTGAACACACAATAAAATCTGAGTGGGGGTACGTTTTAAGTTCCAATATTGTTCTCCTTGATAGCAACCTTGTCCCAAATCAACGATATCACATATGCCTCTTTGACAGCAACTACAAAGGGGTCAAAAAGACCTGCAGAAATAACCAACGACGAATAAGTTGTATGTAAAAAGGGGAGGGGCAAATCACTTCTCTGAAATCCCGTACATCATTCGTAGAAATCCTTATGTTTTATCTAAAAAATACCTGGAATATAGGGGCTGGGGCTGCATTATAGCATTGAGGCTCCATTTCGGCAATTTTATCCTCAATGAAGCAATATTTTTGGACAAGATCCATACTAAGCCCCAACCACCCACTCACCCCCACCCCGTAAATACAAACTTTCTGTTCCCCCCTTACCTATGTATATGTATACAAGTTCTTCAAAAAACGAGCAAAGAAATAACAACGTTTCTCGAGACGAAAATAAATAATTGATAAAACCAAGATAAAATAAGTTCTGTTAATTTTTCTTGATAAAACTTGTTCGATTATGAGTACGGAGGGCGTGGTACAGGCTGGCTTTCACACGTTCAGTGATTGGATGGCCGAACCATTCTTCGGCATCGAATGAAACAAACAAACAAACAAACAAAGAAGAATTTTGAGGATATATGTAAAAAACTATGTGCATCTATGTTCCTTAACAAGTAAAAAGTTGTCTGGGTCAGTTGATTTGATCATTTAATCAAAATCACGGTCATACAGACAAGTGAATCGAAGATGGTCCTTTCTTGAAACAAATAATACAGTTACACATACATACGATCCAAACTAATTGATCACAAAATTATAGATGTATTTGAAAAACTTTACCTATATCATTCATCCTGGCGAAGTGATTTGGCAAATTAATTTAGCAAGAAATTTCACAGTTATAACCCGCACACTTCTATCCAACTGTGAGATTTTTGTTACAAAATAGCAATCAATACAGAAAGAGATGTCAGGATTCTTCTAGCGCAAGTAAGATTCGTCTAGCTTTGAAAATGCATGAAAACGTCGGTTCCCTTTTTTAATTCTACGGAGAAAGCTTTATGTAGAGATTATACTTCGTTTAGGAACCAAGAAAACGGTTGAAGCTAATCAGGATGAAGGAAGCTGCAACTTTTACTTGCAGACCAAGTTATTAATAAAACTTAATTTAAACGAGCAGCATTCGAACATTTATATAGCAATGGTTATGTGTTCTAGAATAAAGAAAATTATATA